GCTCCGCGTCCGCCTCTCCAGTCCTTACCAGACGGCCCATCGACGGTCTTCTGCGTCGCCGTCAGCGAATGCACAGTGGTCATCAACCCCTCGACGATGCCGAAGTTGTCGTTAATGACCTTAGCCAGCGGCGCGAGGCAGTTGGTCGTGCAGCTGGCGTTGGAGACGATTTTCAGGTCCGCCGTATATTTGTTTTCATTGACGCCAACCACAAACATGGGGGCGTCTTTCGACGGCGCGGAGATGATCACCTTCTTGGCGCCGCCCTTGAGATGCGCCGCCGCCTTGTCCTTGTCAGTGAACACTCCGGTGGACTCGACAACTATCTCGACCCCGGTCTCCGACCAGGGGATGGCCGCGGCGTCTTTCGCCCCGTACACGGCAACTTCCTTGCCATTGATGAGCAGAGTTTTGTCATCCTTGGCCGAGATCTCGCCCTTGAACTTACCGTGCACGGAATCGTATTTGAACATATACACCATGTACTTGGTGTCGATGAAGGGGTCGTTCACCGCAACCACCTCTATTCCGGGGTGGTTGAGCAGAGCAGCCCGCAGGACAAGCCTTCCAATTCGGCCGAAGCCATTGATCCCAACCTTCACCATCTTCCCGTCTTCTTTGGCGGCTACCTTCGTCCGCGCACCTGCCGGACTGGTGACGACGCCAAAACAGCCGCAGAGAGCCAGCGAGCAACGTGCGTATGGTTCAAGATCAGGTTCTTCTATTAAAGAAAGAACGGCACGAAACCCCGGCGGTCAGGGAGTGAGAGGACGTATGCACACACACACACACACACACACACACACACAGCAAACACACAAGCAGCGGTGCAGCAGAAGGCTTACCCTCGTTCGACAAAGGATCTCCACGCTGCCTGAAGAAAGCTTTGCAATGCTGACACACCCGCTTCACGACACACAGTGAGACGGTCGAGCCCACACAACAATCGCAGCGGTTATATAGATGGAACGGTACGTGCATGTACTCCCTGTCCGAGAACGCGCCTCCTGCTCTCAAAACTCCCCCTCGCTCTGTCTACGGCAGGCAGACCCAACTCCAGGCACAACCTACCTGCTCTGTCACAGCTTCGAGTACGCACGGAATGCAGGTTTCGCCCCCGCAGCGGACCAAGGCGCCCCATTCATCTCGTTCCTCAGCGGGCGCCCCTCACTCCGTGGTAGTTGCGTGCCGCATCTCCGCGGGCCGAGCGTGTCGACAGCAGCCCTTGTGGTTCGAATTCTGGTCACTGTTCACAAGGCGGGAAAAACGAAAACACGCCCCCGATTTGTGGGTAGTTGCATGCCGCACCTCCGCCGGATGAGCGCATCGACGGCGACCCTTGGTTTGAACTCTGGTCACTGGTCACAAGGCGGGGAAAAAGAAAACACGCCCCCGATGTGATTTGGAAAGCCACAAAACAAGGGAAACAAAAGGAGAGTGGGAAGAGGGGAAACGAGAAGCTTCAGCTACAACGGTAGTGAGCGGCGGCCACCTGCGCCGGTATGTTGCCGGCGGGTGGTCGCCCGCCGGCCCGCGGCCGGTCACTTCACCCTGTGGGCACGCTCACACTAGGTACCAAATCCCCATTTCCCCAAAAAAAAAGGGTTCACGGACAGTCACACATGGTGAACATCTGCCCAAATTCTCAAAAGGGGTGACCATTTGTCAGCGGCCTGCGAAGCCGCGGGGGAAGGAAATTTGCGGTAACCTCTGGAGGTTACCGCAAATTCTCAAATCTTTTTCCGAATTCCGTTCAAAATTGGAGAAAAAATGGAACCCCACGATATTAGCCGCCTATCAATTGACGAAAAGGAGATTTGGGGAAATGGGCGCACGCGCGGAGCGGTCAGACGCGCGTGGCCCTTTTTTTGTTTCCATCCCTTGTTGATCCAGTTGTCGTTAGCCTGCCGTGCGGCTTTCGTCGTTATTTTCGCGTTGAAGAACTGGGCGTTACATTTCCGTGTCCGCCTCCAGCCCCTTGCGCGCATGTTTTCGCATGCCTTGCGCCCGTGTTCCGCTGGCTTCCCCGCTTCTCCGCCCTCTTCCCCCCAGTTCCGCCCGTTGTTTCTTGCTGTGTCCCCTTGTCCCGAACGGACGACGAAGGATCGATTCC